CCTCCTTAGTTCTAGTCTTCTTGCCAGATACATACATTACTGAGCAGCCATAGCGTTTGTTCAGTGCGCACGCGTCACTTTATTCCCACACTGCCCATCACTGTCCCACACTGCCCATCACTGCGGTGGGGGACGGTGGGCCGTTCTTTCAGCGGTAGTAAGGCGGTCGCACATATTCATTTTTAAACGTTAATGTCTCGTTAAATATTGCGTCAATTGCAAAATGATATAGGACTTTTCGACTCAGTTCGATTCACTCTACCTGCTCATGGATGATTTAATCAGGTTAATGACATCCTATATATATATATATATATAAACATCTATAACATAAATGCTCTCGTACTATCTCAAAATCAAATAAATATTTTTACCTTTAATTGCATATTTGTTTTTTTAAGGAATTGCACTTCTTCCATATGTTTTTTTTCCTCCGCTTCCCTTAATTCGGCCGATCTTTTCTCAGATTGATCATACTTGAGTCGTAATTCCGCAACTATTCTCTCCAACTCAATTTTTTGTAGTTTCAATTCCTCGGCTGTATTAATCAAATTTTCTTTGCCTTGTTCGGCCTGTAAAAATGACATCTTTTATCGACGATTGTATGGTAGTAAATTTTATAGATAGTAAAAGGTATTCTGCGCGTGTCTTATATGTATATAAACTCGAAAAAATGTGTATGATATTAGAAAGATAGGTACTTGCAGTGCTTTACGCATCCCGAAAGCGATACTACTTTGATACAATGTCTGGTACGCAGCTAATGTCATTTTGATTTCATCCCGTACTCGCAATAAAAGTAATCCGCGTTCGGCGCAGTTTACAGTTACTTGTCGTATTAATTCATCTGAGAAACATGTAATAATATACGATACTATATTTACTCAAACATACGTTTCAATTTAGATATAAAGCTTATACATGAGCACGTATATATGTACGTATATACCGAAACATTGTGAATAGAGTTGCCTACGAACAGGACAAATACCAGTTTCTCTGGCCTGCCTTTGTTGCAATCGCATATCGAGTTGCTCTTGTAAATTTATCACATCTAATCTTGTTGCAGGAGTACTCGATACCTAAATAATATATATCATATATTTGTCGACTATTGCACGATTAAAAAAGTAGCTTTAAGAATGTATTTAATTTTACACGCTGAGTCCATATCTGACCATCCTCCTCCCATTCTTTCGGCGGTAAAATTCTATTTAAAATTTCGATGGTTTCTCGTCGTACATCAACTTGAGCTGAGATTGGTTGAATTTTGCAAGCAGCTATACCAATTTTCGCTGGTTCTTTACGTATCTATTGTTTAATTAAAAAATATTTAGTGAATAAAAATATGTAAGCAAATATTATGTATTTATTGCTCCACATTTACATATATATATATGCAGAATTATTTAAAAAAAAAAAATCGTAATGTATGTAAAAACATAAAATAAAAATTTATCGCACCTTCTCTGGATGAGTCGTAATCAAAACTGGAACGCTGTCGCCATTTAATTAAAGAGGATTTGCGTAAAACGTAACTAAAAAGCGCTATTGTATCATTACACGTTGAATATTATTTATCGCGAGCTACAGGAGTATATAAGCGATAACTTCTATTCATAAAGTTGGTAGCTGAAAAGAACGTCGTCATGGAAACATTGATGCACCGCACCATCACTCATAGTTCACAGTCGGCTTTTACTTTACTAGCCAGTCGCGTCGTTCGATAGCTCGATCCGTTTCATTTTATATCGCAAAAGCAAGCTTAATACGAGCATAAAGTAAGAGCCGGTTTCAATATTCAATTTTTAATTAAAATGATACGTAAAATGTATTTACGTTTACCTGTCAAACTTAAATACTCTGCGATAGTTACGATAGGTGCGTTCTGTATCTTTTGCTTATATAACTGGAATAAAAAATGGAATAAATATAGAAATGTACACGGTTTTTTGCAAATGATAGTTTAATATAGCAATTTATCATTTAAAATAAAATTAGGTTTCGTGTATATGTCAAATATATAATTGATTACTTTTAAAAATATGTCTACAAGTACTTATATATTGTATACACAAATTTAAGTCATCTGAGACAAGGAGCTGCAATGCGTGAGATATTATACAATGTAATTAGTATTTTTTATAGCACTTTATACTAGATGTTATTACTGTATAATGGTATATCTAAATCAGAAATTTCTTATACTTTGTTTTTATTATTAATGTGATTATTGTTACATGTATTTTAAAGACAAAAGGCATTACATATAATTTTACATATGTAATTAATAATTAAATAACTGCATTTAATTGTAAAATAAAATGATCGCTCAATTCATTTGTACTCAAATCATCTACATCGTCGTTGCTTTCGTCGAAAATATCTTGAACAGTGCCTGTTACAGTTTCCATACCGTCCATGCTTCCTACACAAACCGTTGTACACTCCGCATGATTTTTTGTATCGACTTCTATATCATTTTTCATATACTGAGTATCATTCTCTTCGTCTGTATTTAAATAGATCATTTCTTGAATTTTGTTGTTACTTTTACTGGTATCTGACATACTGTTATTCGGGAGAGTTTGCAAAATCGATAGTGCTGGAAGGGGAAACCCACAGTTTAACAACTTTTTGTATCCATTAGTACCACAAATTTCTTTAATTTCCGTTGCCATTGTTAGAATTTTTTCGGAATAGTTTTCCTTCGTACTGTCTACCATTATGTCATAAAATTCACTTGTACTTCCATCCAAGAGTTTTCTTCTTCTCATAAAAGTTTGCATATTTAACATCTTTTTTCTATATGTATTTGTATTTTTCTCTGCTCGCTCGAGGTATTTCGAAGCCTTGTCCAATTTCCAATTGAGTTCTTTTATTTGTTTATCTCTTTGCTTGATTTGATTTTCTAGCCGTCTCTTTTGTTGACATTCGATAGTTATAGTTTTCATTAACTTTTTATTCATCTCTTCGAAATTACTCATTCTGTGCGATAAATCATAAATCAGTTTTTGTCTCATATCCATTTTTTTAATTGTTAGAGATGATACGCCATCTGTACTTTTATTCAATTCATCCATCTGTTTTTCCAGTTTCTTTGTCCTTGCTTTGAGTATCAAATTTTTATTTTGCAATTTTTTCTCCAAATCCTTGAGCAAAATAAGTTGATGAGTTAATTGCCCAATGACAGTCTCTTGCAGTTTCACTTTTTGTTGTAATTTCTTATATTCACATTTACTAGCATTATCTATCGTTGGTTGTTCAATAATACTATTAATAATGGCGTTATTCACTTCTGAATCCTTCTCTTCATTCATATTCAATGACGGTAATCTTGTAGTTAGACATTCATCATTTTGTAAATTTGAAGCAAATGACATTTGATCGTTATTTCTTAATGCAATACTTGTAATACATGGCGAAGCAATACCATTGCATTTATCTATAGAACTTGTTTCTAATGGATAATCATCTATCGTAATGATAGAAGTAACAGCCGTATTATTTTCTTGCTGTAAACAAGTATTATTGTGCTCTTGAATAATAAAATCTTGTGTATTTTTAAATAAATCTTGCATAATATCAACTACATCCTCGCGATCGCCTGTAACTTTGACTGTGAATCTTGTTGTATCTGATATAGCACCGTCTTTATTATATCCCATAATTTCGGATATATTCAGTTCCTTTGTTGATTCGTTTTCTATTTCTGCATCTGAAGTATCACTGTTAATCATAGAATTTGTATCCTCTAAAGATGTATCTTGAACTGATGCTTTTAAAGATTTCATAACTTCCTCTCGAATTGCTTCTTTATACCTTACAGCAGTCCTTGCATTTGATGGAACATATAAATTTTCTCTGCTGAAAGTGTCTTCTGTACATTCAGTTTCAGTGAGCTCTTTATCATTAGTAATACTATTGATATTTGTGGTATGATGATCTCGTTTGTCATTCTCATTAGTCCCATTGCTAGAAAATGTATACCTAGGAATTCGAACAAATTCTTCACTACTTTCACTACCAAAGATGATCTCAATGTTGTCTCTATTGTCGGTAAGCATATCTCCAATTTCATTCCTCGATGAATATTTATAACTTATACCTTTATGAAACAATGGCTGCATTATCGACTTTTCTAAACTTCCTTTCCAATTTTTAGAAATTGAATTTAGTTCTTCTATATTAGATATATTCTTTTCTTCACGACCATCGCAAATTTGCTTTAATTTCTCCTCTATCTCATCATAATTATCATCGAAGATGTTATTATCTTGTTTTATTTCTGTTTTTACATCCTCACTCTGATTATCAGTTGAATTTGTCTTTATTATAAAATTACTAACAGATATTTTATTCTCCATACTTGCTTGTTCTTCAGTGTCATGTTCTTTAGTATCACTCTCTACCTCCATACTATTATCTGAAATTATATTTTTTTGTTGAAGATCATTCGTAATATCTATATAATGTCCATGAGATGCTTGTTGATTTTCTATCTTTTTTGGAAAATAATTTACTTGCTGATGTACAAGCGATTGTATAGACGATTTATCAATATCCTGCATATCAGAATCTTTTTCTTCCAAATGACTAATAGACGAATTGTCAGTATCATTTTCTAAAGATTCCACCATATAATAGTCTTCATTCTTCATATTAGCTAACTTGATGCGCTTCTTGGCAGATTTCCTGGTTGATGTTACGGTAAAAATAGATGGAACAGCATTCTTCTTTAATCTGAGTTTGCCATTTTGGGTTATAACCCATTCTTTAGGTTCAAAATGTACATGACAGAGAAAGGAATTGTTAGACGGTTCCCAATCGGCTCTAGCGACGCGATCCTGCCAAATTTGTCTTAAATTTAAATCTCGAGGAAAACATTTCATAATATATCCTTTTTCACTACGATTGTTACAACCAATAGCTGCGCAACCTGGCATTTTTCGTCAGTCAAATAATGAATAACCTGCAAATTTGGAATAACATCAAAATTATAGCATAACAGTACAGAAAAGAAACAGCAACAGTAATTATACTCCAAAAAACGGCACAAAAAGCACATGTTAAATGTACATTATACTTTCTCTCACCTTTGTACACGTAAAATGTAAAAATAGATTGCATTGTAAAAACAAAGGAAAATGCAATTGAAATGAACAGACTTTTAATTGTATACATTTTGACAAATTATTTTTATGAACTCTACATGTTACGTATATCGTTTGACGATATTTAAAAAGAATTTAGAATTCTATCTTCTTACCTGTCTTCTTTTGGCACCGTTAATTTTATTCCCCTTTCAAAGCAAGCATATATATCATGTGATATTTCTTAAAAGGTAACAACATCGCTCGTAAACATTATTAAAATCGTGAGAAAACTTTTCAATTTGGACGCGCAAATAACGTGTATATTGTCAAGCTTTCTCATATCATGAAGTACCTAATGTTTGGTTGGAATTCTACGTGTCGAGTATTGGTCGCGTACATGTGCATACATACGCCGCAATATGGCCGCGCCGTTATTCAGTAATTATTTTGTAACCAATAAGATTTTAGATCTGTTTTTTATTACTGCACTTTCTGAACTAGTGCATACATTGCAATAAGTTGAAGTGAAATAAACATATATTTGTTTCACTTCAACTTATTGCACCTTTTCAGAGTGCAGTAATAAAAAAAACAGACCTTTTGCGATTTATTTCGATTTATTTAATACTGCCTTGCTGCCAAATAATTGATATATACATAAACGTCAATTATGTATTTTTTCCGTGAGTTCACAAGTTGATCGATACCTTATTTACCTCACATTTTTGTCAAGTTGAAATATTATTAAATAGGTACATAGAATAAGAAAGAAGATACACCTATTGACTTAATCTCCTTGAATAGGTTAAGTTATTTATACATAAATGTATGTGATAAACACCTAAAATATATTTTAGCAGAAAGATAACACGATGAATAAAAATACTCGTGAAACAACGCCAGGTGATGGCTTACGATCATTGCGGAGTACTACATTATTCCGTGCCGTAAATTTTGAGTTATATGTTAAGCCGGTAAGATTATAAAACTGATAAAACATGTTGAGATTGAGTCCAATATTGTCATTAATGAAATGTCATTTGTAGAACAAAACCATCATGATTCTCGGTATCATAGCAATGTTAAGTTGTTCTGGATATATATTTTATATGAATACTAATCAAAAGAGGAATGATTACAATATTATGGTTAAACCAGACGAAACAATGGAATTAGTAAAAAAAGTGTCCAAGTGGACTGATTAAGTAAGAAATCCTTACGAATAGTATGAAATATTATATTATTTTGTATAATCGAATAATCTATTCCATTACATTAATATATTTGTTATAAGGTATTAGTTTAACATTTAGTATTAGATAAATAAAGCATTAAATATTCTCCAACAAGAAAATTTATTTATTTTTAGATTTGAGAAATACATTTGTGCGATCTAAATACATATACACAACTTTTCTAAGATATAACTATATACATTAATCTTTAATTGTTACAAATCTGCAACAATCGTGTCATTGTACAATGAAATTTTTATATCAGTAAAATTGTATTATTTCGATAAATAAAAACAAAAATTTATCGAAATATATTCCATATATATAATAGAATTTTATTGTAAAAGTAAAATATATATAGTTATATCATTATCTATATTTTATATGATGGTATACCATATAGATTTTATTGATAACAATTATAAGTTAATCTTTCTCTCACACTCTCTACATATATATATATTTACATAGTATACTATATATATAATTTTATACAGATTTTTTATTCTTTTACAAAATATCAACATTTATAGTTTTACATAAATTTTACAATTTTACTGCAGATTGGTATAGTTGGCAGTATATTTGATTTTTTTTTTTACTTATATATATCTATTTTCCATGCTTATTGAATTAGTCTTAATTTCTGAACGAAATAGTTACCATAAAAATATATTCACATTAACTATCTTACATATGTTTGATATATGTGTGCAATATTTTTTATATGTTGCTCTTACTATTCAATTTACATTTATCAATATATTTGTTTTAATAAAAATTTAATAAGATACGTATAATACATATAATTCTAATGTGTATTTGCGTGTACACACTCTTCTCTACAAGGAAGCCCATTGTGTGTTGGAGAATCAATAGATATCGCTAAATGTAGTTAATCTTATTATGTTCTATAATATCAACAAATTGCGATATCTATAATTTAACTTTCCTTCTTGTTTCTTTTAAATATCTATTTTGTGTAGTTGACATTACTGTTATGAAGGAAATGTCTTCAAGTCTAATATATAATCAAATCTAATAAATTCTTTTCACACGCATATAATACAATTATTAAATTAGATCAAAACTATTATCATTTTAACACAAAAAATATTCTTTTTATAGTTTTTCTCGATAATAGATATATATTTTTCTACACAAGCTATCTATATATCTTTATCCCATAGTTTAAATGAAATCACTATGAAATTATATAGTAGATTAAATTATAAAATTTTTGTTAAAATCTTCAATATCAAACGAGTTGAATTTACTTTTCCAGTTATTATTTTAGAGCAGGATTTTTCAACCGGTGTGATGCAAGGATCTCAAAGTGTATCAAGAAAATTTTAGAAAAGGTAAAAAGAGACGAAAAAAATTTATAAATTAGTAAATAAGCTAATGAGGCGCGAAGTAAAAAATATTTTAAAAATAATAAAAATTATCTTAAATTATATCTTTTTTTTTTCATTTTAATCAAAGTGATATTGTCATTGTAATAAAATCACTTTTTAAACAATAATAAAAAAATAAATTTAGAACTTTACTTTTTATTGAATGTTGTGCTGGCGATATTTAATAAAGAAGCTATGCTAAATGTTGAATTGTATACACCTAAAGCCTTGTGCACAATAGAAAAAAATTTTAGGAATAGGAATAAGTATTAGAATAGAGAAATAAATATTAAGATTTCAACCTACGTTTTCAATCTACGATTTCAGAAACCACGTATTCTAGTGGTTTCTCATAGGTTGAAATCTTAATATTTATTTCTATTCCTAATATTCCTTCCATTGTGCGCAGGATCTAAAGGTGTATGTATCTCGACAAATTTGGCTCAATATTTAATGCTGCGAATTAAAAAAGGTTGAAAATCGTTTTTTAATTGCTTTAGAGCATTCAACAATTTTCATAATAATTTTCCTAAACTATTAGATATATATATATATCTTTACTTTTAACAATATAAACTATATATATCTAAAAAATTCTTCATTTAACAATATGACAATTAATACATATAAAATTTGGCATCATTGTAATATTTTGTACCATTTTGTACTTTATCCTGTAAAATTTTACAATAAAGAAAAAATGAAGACGAAAGACAATTTATCACAGGAATGATAACTATATATATAAAATAATTTAATTTCAAAGTAAGATAAAGACAAAATGCATGACTTCGTATAACAAATTTCAGTATTAGTAGAAAATAATCATTTCTTTGATTACTAACTGGAAATTGAATTTTGTCATACAAAATATATATAATATACATATAAAATATTGCCATATTTTTAATGTTGAGGCTTGATTATTAATTTGTATTTGTAATGTTCTATTTTAACACATACAGTCGTTTTGTACTTCTGGCAACAGCTTTATCGTTTCATTAATTGCATTTGCCACATAATCCAAATTATTTTCATTGAGCCCACACATATTTATACGTCCACTACGTAACATATAAATGTGATAATGATCTCTCAGATGCTGGACTTGCTTCTCTAAAACAAAATCGAAAGAAAACATTTTTTCATAACTAGTTTTATCAAACTGCATTGTAAAATCGAAAATATAATTTTTACAACTAACCGATGAGTCCTGTATATGAGAACATTCCAATTTGCTGAATAATATGATCCCAAGTACCTGGAGTACCTAGTTCGAGCAATCTATGATGTAAACCTACCCTCATTTGTTTAATTCTACTGGACATTGTTTTAATATGATCCTTCCTAAAATATTGAAACGCATTATTAAAGTAAATAATAAAGAATTGATTATTTTTTTATAGATTTTTACAAATCATAATACCATTCCTCAAAGAGCTCCGGATTTCTCAGCACAGTTGCAACAATTCGAGCACCATGATTAGGAGGATTGCTATACATTCCTCGGATAATTAATGTTAATTGTGATCTAGCTTGAATCATCTCCTTTGTATCGGCCAACACAAAAACTATGTTACCAACTCTTTCGTTGTATAATCCAAAATTTTTCGCAAAACTTTGTGTACAAATGAATTCGATTCCATGTTCGGCAAACAATCGTACAGCGTACGCATCTTTATCTAAATCTCCACTTGCAAAACCCTGTTGAGAATCAATGTGTAATCAGATTTATCAGAGTGACTATAAAAAAAGATCATGTCATTTTTTTTTATCCTTATCATTCATTCGTTTAGATATTAATTTAGATATTGACCTGATATGCACTGTCAAATAATGGAAAAAGGTGTTTTTCCTGTATTATATTAGCTATTTTAGCCCATTGCTCTGGAGTTGGATCACATCCAGTTGGATTATGTGCACATGAGTGCAAAATGATTACAGCATTTTCTGGAGCATCTCGTAAATCCCGGAGCATTCCTTCTAAATCGATGTTACGAGTCTTTTCATTCCAATATGTATATTCACGAGCATTTTTAAATCCTCCATTAATAAATACCAGTCTGTGATTTTCTGCCAGTATATATAATCTTATAAATATATGAAAATTTTCACTAGTAGATGAAATAAGAGAAAGAGAGAAAAGAGAGATATTGTTTTTAAAAATTTACTTACCCCAGGAAGGTTTACTGTAATAAAAGGTATCGTAATGTAGAATACGACTCAAAAATTCAGCGGCAACACGCAGTGCTCCAGTACCAGAAAGCGATTGAATACCAAAAGCACGCCCTTGGGCAATAACAGGAGAATTTGTACCTAATAACATACTTGTAGCAGCTTCGCTAAATGCTTCTAAGCCAAGAACTGGTAAATATTCATGATTTTGTAAATCATCTGCTGCAAGTGATTTTTCTACCTTTTTTACAACAGGTAGAACCCATGGTTTACCTTCGTTAGTGCGGTAAGCTGAAAAAGATTTCTATATTTCTTATTAATTTATTATAAATAGATATAATATAAAATTAATTAAATATATTAAATTACAAAAAAAAATATGAATTCGAACATGTAAATAATTTCAAGAAATGTTCTTATGCAAATTAAGAAATAATTTTTATATATATATATACGTTTAATATTAATACTTATATTACAAATATATAAAAAAATTAATTTGTTAGATTTAAGATCTGGCATTTAATAATATTTGCACTACATTGACTCTTATTTATTTTTATATATTTCCTTAAAATAATCGAGTTATGCAGCATATATATGCACGCGCGCGTGGTGTGTGTGTGTGTGTGTTCATGGATGAACGAGAAATATTATGTAATCACTCTGGAAGTCACCCAAGGATATAAAGAGTATAAGAAAATAAAAAGTAACTCTTATACATCTCGTACAGCTTCATATTTATTATTAAAATATGCATATTTAATAGTGAAAATGTGCTAACTTTTTGAAAATTAAGCTTACTAAAAACAAGCATCACTATAAGACTGTATGCATAAAATAAAATAAAATAAAATAAAATAAAATCAGTCCTGCCTTTCAGACAACAATGGAAAAATAAAGCGGTCTTGAATGTAGTAGTTGTAAGAAATAAAATAGTTACATACCTCCTATAGTGAGATTAACTTTCTTTTCGTAAGTATCGTCGACGAATGTTTTTTGCAGTGCAAAAACCTCGATAGGAGGCCCCAGTTCTATTCCCGTGAATCTGGTATTCATGTTGTAAATGCGAGCGAACAGTAGATAACAAGTAATAATATAAAGAATACAGTCAAATTAAGAATTGGTGAGAAAGGAAGGAAAAGTTCACAATTACAACGTGAATAGAAATATGTTGGAGTATGCAAGGAGAGCGATATTGAAATGAAGTCGCGCGAAGATTGGCAATCTGCGAACTTGCCAAGTAAGCTTTAATCTGACTGTGTGTGTGTATGTGTACATACACTCGATTTTTTACACCGTTACACCAATTGACGTAAGGAAGACGTCCGAAGTATAGTCACTTCACTTTCGTATCATGTGATGTATGTACAGTGGCTCTCAATACATTTGGAACACTATTGGTTACCGAATGCAACCTTAAGCTGAATACTTATGTATATTTTTCATCCTGGGGCTCTATTTTTGAACATATATGAATAATTTTCGCATACGAAAATGACAGTTTCTCGATTGTATACGGGATTGCTATTTTCGTATGCGATATTTATTCAAGATTAGGACCCCTGATGCTGGATGCACTAAACGTATATTTAAAATTTAGGTAATTATTTAGAATACAGGTCCCCCTTTAGAATCTTAAGAAAAATGTACTCATTCGATGCGTTTTCACTCAAAATGAAAAAATCTGACAAAAAAAATGCGGCGGTCGATATTTTAGAGGTTAATCTGTCATCTCTACTCGATACATCTCTACTCATCTCTCTTTACGTTTGTTCGCGTCGCATGCTCCAACGTGTTCCGATATGCTTCTACTATGGCTCTTATTCATTCCAACGCGCTTGATAGAGTGAGTAGGAACTATAATAGGAGTATGTTGGAGCACGTTGGAGCTTGCGACGCGAACAAACCTTTTATTTTACAAACACAAATTCACTGCTTTAAAAATTTACTGTTTTAAAAACACAAATTCACTACTTTAAAACACAAAAGCATTGCTTTAAAAACACAAAAGCATTACTTTAAAAACAAAAATTCACTGCTTTAAACACAAATTCTTTGCATTAGCACCATTAGCACAAATTTGTGTTTTTAAAGCAGCGTATTTTTGTCTTATAGCAGTGAATTTGTGTTTTTAAAGCAGTGCTTCTGTAATTTTTAAAGCAGTGAATTTGTATTTTTAAAGCAGTGAATGTGTTTGTAAAGCCAAGAATTTGTGTAATTAAAGTAGAGAATATTTATTTTTAGAAATTAATTGATATTCGATACGTGACCACCGCAATAAAACGCGTCTTCTTCTTCTTCTTCTTTAATTAATGGCTCCCGCCTCCAAACAATGTAAAAGGAGGTCGATATGGCCAGATCTCGTTACAATAGTAATAACCGTATGTTTATGATTGTTTTCCGTGTTAAAAAAAAATGATGCAACATCCGCGAAAATGGCTAAGTCAGTTCGAACACCGGGCGCCTGCGTCTACGGCGTCGTCACGCCGCAAGGACGCGCGTCAGGATGACCGAACAGGTCATCCAAGACCGCATACATATGTATGTTTCAATGCTCGGTCAAAGTCGGCAACACTTTCAAAAATATACAATAGCTAACACCCGAGTCGAGACGCGTCCGCCACGACCGAGTGGTTCATCAGAACTGAATAAAACGCGTCGAATGAGTACATTTTTATTAAGGGGGACCCGTATTTTAAATAATTACCAAAATTTATGTATACAACCGCCGGTGTACATACATATAGAGATCGAATTTTCCCAATGTAAATTATTTCAAAGCCATATTTCGGCATGCGTTTGAAAGATATGGATATAGCATGAAAATCCGCAGCTATCTACGGCTGTGTTCCAAAATTAACTGCCAGTACTGAAAATCTATAGTGCACGTGACATAAACTGTAGCATTATCAGTGCTGGCAGTAAATTTGGAACACAGCC